ATAGTGGATGATTCACTGGACACGTTTTGGCCCTCACTTTGTTCCTGCAGTGTCTGTGAGGAGCTTGCAGTTCTTAGAGCTATGCTGTAGCTGCCATTCTGCATTACTGCCATCCCCAGAGCCCCCACCACACACCAGGGATGTACAAATCATCATGGTGCTCCTTCCTGCAATCAATTCTGGGTGTCCTACTGATCCCTGACCCGTTAAGTCCAGGCTTTTCAATGGCCCAGTTTGAGTGGCAGAGGTGATTAGATGATTTTGTTATTTTTTTTCGTTGGATTGGGGTTGGACTGGACAAAAGAAACCATCCAGAATTCAGTTCGTAGTAGGTAATAAGCCATGAGACTGGCGAGGCCATGCAGTTTGTGGAGTAACCTGTAGCCCTAGAGGGATGGAGGGGGTGTTTTGAACTCTGCTTAGAACTTCTGCTCTATTTGAGGCTGTTGCCAAGTGTGTATGTGTGGGGGGGGAGTATCATCTAAACGAGGGTGGCCTCACTGCCAACATCGCTCCTGCCAGAGCTGTCGCCTGCATCTGCAGAGCAAACCGCAAGCTCAGCTCTTCCCCAGCTCCCCTGCCTCATTCCTTCCCTGAATCCTTTTTCTTTCCAAGGTGGGAGCAGCCTGGCTCCCAGAGCAGCACAATCCAGTTCTCCCTCCCTGGCTGAGGCAGCTGTGAGTCACTGTGCTCACGAGGTTCGTCAGCGGGAGGAACTGGTCCGAGGAACGTGACGGCGATGCCGCTGGAGCGCAGCCAGCGCGGCTCCGTGCCCGTGGTGTTCCCTGTGGCACAGCATCCGAGGGCTGGAGACAGAGCAGCTGCTGCGTATGGAGACCACTCGCATCCACAGGTAACCCCTAAAGGCTTTTCCCATCCTGGAGCTGAGCTGCTCCTCTCCTGACCCCCAAGCTTGGACGAAAGCCCCATGGCTGGGATCAAGTCTCGCTGCTGGAGCTGGATTATCTCTGGGCTGCGCTGGCCAGCCCCTGGGTGGTTTTTGAGTTATCGCTGCTGCTTCCAGTCGTACGTATTTCCTCCTGGGGGATATGACCTGGGCCCAGATCCTGCTCTTGTTTTCATCCAGGGAAAGCCAAAGTCTGACATCCCAGCTCACCAGGCCTTCCTCAAACCCTGGTGTAGCCCAAAGCTGTATCCCTGCAGCCACTGTTGCTGTAGGTTGAGGTGAGATTGTTGAGGGAGGTAAGATGTTCTGGTGTGCCTGCACCAGGTGCTCTGCTGTGTTAAAAATGGAGTTACATACAGAACAGATGTTCTCCAAAATGAAAATAGGTGCTCTTCAGCCCTGGAATCAGACCATTAACTTGTCCATCTGCTCTAGCTGGGGGCAGCCAGTCCCATTCAGGGTGGCAGAAGCAGCTTCTTTACACTGTTGGCTGAAGGCAAGAGGTGTGGGAGCAGAGGGCTGGACTTTAAAATGCCTGGAAATGGTTACCTCCCTGTTCGTGACCCAAGCCAGCTGCAGGCCTTGCTTGAAAAATCTGCTACTAAACCAGTCAGGATTCAAAGCCTCCCTCATCCACAGCCACTGGATTTTCCCAGTGGCCCTCTGGATTTTTCTCAGCGCGGTCTCCTACTTCTCCCCACCACCCCCCTTAATTTAAGGTTGTATTAGGCAGATCTGCTTCACCAAGCTTTCCCTCCAAATAGAGCAGGCAGGGGAAGAGATGCAGACCCCTCAGTGTGTGACACTGCTGAAGGATTTCGGTGGAAACCTTCGGTTGAAGTAAGGTGCCACTTGGGCTGCGAAGATATTAAGCCCTGGCAGGCAGGAAAAAGGCAGTAGTAGGTGCCTTCTTCTGCCATCAGAGCAAGGGCGAGGGGGTTTTGTCCCTCCATGCCTCACCCCAGCAGACCCCCCAGCAGGCAGGCAGGAGTGAGCTGCCAAATTAGCTCTGCCAAAGGGTTGTGAGCATGGCAGTAAATTCCCTCTGGAGCAGCCCAAATAATCCCTTCCCCATGCACACTGTAAGGCAGTGTGCAAGGAAAACAAGAGGAAAACAATGCTTACCTGAGCATTGTCTTCTAGCAAACTTCCAGGCTTTTCTTTTTTTCCTTTTTCCTCCCTGTCTCTAATAAATGCAGAGCTTGGCACAAGCACAAAATCCATGTCATTCCCACTCACACCAGGAAAGGAGCAAGTACTGAAGGCTGTGGGCCAAACTGTGTGAAGGAGAGAAAGCAAGGGGAGGAACAGGGCGAGGGGGAGGAAGCCCAGTGAATAGGGGGAAAAGGAGAGGAAACAGGAGAGGAAATACTCCGGGGAGAGTTGCATGGAGGTGGGGAAGGCAGGGCCAGAAGAATGGAAGGAAATCCTTGCAGAAAATGGGCTGTTTGAAAGCTGTTCCTTCTGTGCCTTCCCCTGGCAGATGCTCTAGATCTGTAGATATTTGGGGAGGAATCCGCTGGCTTTTGGGGACATGTTGGTTGGAAAAGGGAGAGGGAAGGAGAACTGGAAAGAAACCCCTCCTGCCCCTCACCCTGCAGCACCTGGCGAACCTGGAGCATGAGACCCAGAGGGATGAGGCGTGGAAGTCAATAGGTGTGCCCAGCCCACTGCCACACACAGAGCCCCTGTGGCCACAGCACATGAGTTCTTATGGCTCCTTCCCCCTCCCTGGCCACCTTGTTCTTTGTAGGAGAAGGAAGGGTGGGAGGAAAAACCCATGATCTCGCTGGCCTGCTGCCAGTTGCTAAGGCAGTTTCTTCAAGAGGGGAGGGGAGTTGTGGAAAGGAGGGAGCTGCCTGGAGAGGAGGCAGATGATGAATGCAGGGAGCAGGCAGAGAGAGGAGCCTGCATCCACCAGTGATGGTGGCAAATGGGACCATGGGCTGAGCGGGAGCAGAGGGGAAGGAGCCCCGAAGAGAGGGGTGAAGTGGAAAGGGGCAGGGAGGACCAGGGAGCAGCAGCTCCTTGCACAGCTCAGCCGTGGATTCAGCATCCCAAGGGAACTGTCTCAGCTGATGGGTTAGCTGTGCTTCAGAGCAGCTCTACGAAGCACTGCCTGTGGCTGGAGGGGGTTTTATTCCCCAATGACTTTTCCCTGATGTGGTTTCCCTGGTGAGTACGAGGTGCGTGTGGTCCAGGGAAGCTGGCTGTGCTGTGCAGGCAGGGCTGGGAGCAGGACTCACTCCTACTGCCAGTGCTGGGAGGAACACGTCCCACATGGACATGCAGTTTAGAGGCAGGGAACGTTATCCCTCCTGGACAAAGCCACCAGGAGCACAGGGTGCCCTTGGTCATCCCCTCCTTGCCTCAGTGCTGCATTTAAGTGTCTTTCTGCCCCCATGGCACAAGCTCGAACAAGGTCTGTGAATGCAAGTGGGCACCTGGCCCAGACTCCCTGATCTTCCAGTTATTATTAAGGCCCAGAGAGGAGCTTAATGTGACTCTTGTCAGCTGTGGAGTTGCTGCACTGACTTATGATACTGAGCAGCATCAGAGCTGAATGCAGAGCTGGGCCATCGCTGCTCTCAATGCTGTGGTGCCTCCTCTGCCTGGAAACCTCCTCCTGGGGCACAGGGGCAGATGTACCTGAGGGAGGGAGAGACTGTCCTTCAGTCCTGAGGGTACCCCAGGCTCCTGTGACCTCGAGAAACACGGTAAGCGCTTCCCTCTGGTGTGGTGTGAGATACCTCATCTGCTATGGGTGTGCCTGTGCCAAACTCCAGCCTGCTTCCTCCTGCCCCCTGCACGGGCAGGCTCAGAGCAAGGGCTGGTTGCAGACAAGTCCCTGGCAGCTCCCTCTGGCTGGGGCAGACACCACAGGGAGATGCAGCTCCCCACCTGGGCACCCCGTCTTAGCCGAGAGCAACGGGTTTGCCCTGGCTGAGGTGGAAAGCTGGAGGCTTGGAGCGGGTGGGAAGCTGCTCTGTGCAGAGCCTTGGTTTTGTGGGCATCTCTCACTGACAAGTCACAGGTGAGGAAATAAGCTCTTACAAGGTAGGTGGCAACAAAATCAGAGCAGCTTTGGGAGTGCAACAGCGGCATCTCCACAGGTCCTGCCCCGGTCAACGCGCTGGCACCTGGGCGTGTCCCTATGGGAGCTGTCAGTCCCTCGGTGCCGGCCAGGGCCGGTGTAGCCCGGAACGGAGCTGATCCGAGCCCCACTCTGAGCCAGGCGCTTGCTGAGCAGGCGGAAATTCAATCCCCGGGGCCGGCTTCGATTCTCGCACTTCTCCTTCCTTCGCGTTTCTCGGGCCCCGTGTCCTCGCAGCCGCTCGTCCCCGGTGACAGGAGCCAGGGGCGCCGCAGCCGCGATGCTCTCTGTGCGGCACCCTCGGGACCGGGAGAACTCGCCGCTTTTCCGCCCGGATTTCGGTTCTTTCTCGCTGCAAACCCATCCAAAATGGAGCAGTCACGCTCCCGTGGGGGTGGGAGGCCGGGCGAGGCGTGCGCTGGGGTGACTCATGGGCTGCGCTCCGCAGCTCCCGGCGCTGCTGCACGGCCACGAAAGGCTTGAGCCAAAGGCGGGGGCGGCATCGCCCTCCTGGCTGGCCCTGAGAGTGAACACCAGGCACCTGGGGGAGCCGCGGAATAGGGCACTGATAAACAAAGCGGTGGATTAAGGTATCAGATGTTTCCTGCTGGGATTTAACGCCCTAAAGGACAGCGCATTATACGTTATTAAAACTGGGCAGGTTTCGCCCTGGGTCAGCCCGGCGGCTCCCTGGGAAGCCGCTCACACCACAGGGGGCGAGCTCAGGGCTGCAGCTCGCACAGCTGAGCTGAGCTGAGCATCCCTGGGCACACCGAGTCCGAGAACGGCCGCAGGACACCACGGGCACCGCTCTGTGCTGGGGACAAAAGCTCCATGCCAGGGACAGCCCTCGCACAAGGTGACACTTCTGTCAGGTAAAGCGCTCTGAGAAGGGGCTGTCCCTCCCTTGTCAGCTCCCCCTTCCCCCCCCAGCCCTCATGGGGTCTCTTGTCTTCCCCTGACTCTTCTTTTTGGTGGAGGGAAAGAACAAAGCCAGAGTTTATTTTAATTGTTTATTGTATAATATAAAACTACAAAAGTAAGACTGCTCATTTCCATGTACATTTGTCCAATTGTTTTTTTTGATTACAGCCCATACCTACATGTGAATACAGTAATCTGGTTTCAGATGTCTGTAATATTGCATAGAAAAGGCACAGCTCTAAGGTCTGTGGGAGGGGAAGGGGAAATACAGCCTTTTTTTCTTTTTTTTTTTCCTTTTTTTTTTTAATTTTGTTTTTACAATAACAAGCCCTGTTCAAACAACCATGCACTGAACATGTCACACTATTTACACCTTTTCCAGAATCTTGGCCTTTACAGGCACTAGTATGGAATATGCTCAGAACTAGACAGGAGTTGAGGTTGGGATTTTATCTGCAATTTGTGTTTTTAAAGAGGTTCCAGAACTTGCATTAGGCTTATTTTCAGAAAAAAGAAAAAGTGCTTAAGAAGAACTAATTTATTTTAAAATGTTCAGTCTCATTAATTTATAGAATATCAAAAGCAACTTGCACAGAAGCAGGATACTGAAATCTGATGGGGGTTGGGGAGGGGAAAGAACAAAACCAAACCAAAAGAAACCCTGTAACAAGAACAAAAAGTTCACAACATGCCAGAGTGAATTAAACCGTTTGTCAGAGAGGACCCATTGCGATTTACTCAATTTAATGGTAATGAAGTGTAAACTTTGGATTCAAAATACCAGTTTTAAATAACCACGCAGCATTGAGGAAAAAACCAAATTACCTTTCAGAAGGTCTGAATTTCTGCTGACAGTGATTGCTCCAGAGAGTGGCTCTCCTGTCATGCTGTTCCAGTTGACTGCAAGGAAGGTGCCAGATCGATGCCACTTAAAGCTGCTCCTTCAAGAGGGATGTTCCCCTTCCTTTGCCTGCAGGGCTGTGGGATCCTGCTGGACTCCAGAGGGACCTGTGGTGCCCAAGGACTGGCAGGTTGGATGCACAGAGCACCGTGAGTGGGTTGGATTTGGGCAGGCAAACCCTCTGCCTGGCCCTGCCTCCTGGCAACGAGGTGGTGTCAGCTCTGGCGCAACTTCTGGGGCTGGAGGTACCGTCCTGCTGCCTTCTCCAGTTGTCCAGCCCCAGGGATTTCCGCTGGGCCTTCCAAGGGTGTTTAAAATTTAAAAAAATACAAAAAAAAAAAATCACCTTTTTCAACCTTTTCTTGGCCAGCATGATGGAGGTGATTGCATTTGCTCCTGTAGCGTGCCAAGGGAGGCCCCTCTCAGGAAGCTGATGGGGGTAGGAGCCTGATTAGGGCTAATTTTGAACTTAAAACTGTCCCTCCTCCATACCTTTTTTGCATATTTCAAAAAACCAGACCCATATTAGAAAAAGTGTGTAGGGAAAAAATAATCCTGTGATCCATGCATATCCTGACTGGAACTCAGTTCATTCTTTCTGAATCTGGCTCCCATACCCTTTTTCATACAGATTTACATTCCTACAAGAGGATACATTCCTACCATACATTCTGTACATGTTACAATCCAGATGTTGTTAGCTTCACAATAAAATAAATATATTTACAGAAGAAAAAAAAAAGAATAAATAATTTATGAAAAAAAAAATCACTTCAAATCCAAAGCTCTTTCATTCTGCTCCCATCTTGTCACTTCATTGCACGTTAATGTCTTATCTCCATCCCTGGTGTAGGTCTCAGAGAAATTCCATGCATGGCTGCTGACAGGACCACGGCAAAGGCCAAGCTAGAGACAGTCAGTGACTGCAGGGAGAAAGCCACAGCCAAGCCCTTCCAGCCCTGGCCTGCACCAGCTTTCCCAACCTTTTGCTGAGTCCTGTAAGTCTCAAGTATGTTTCTGTCCTATGGGATTTCTGTAAGGGTTCTGCCACAGGACATGTGCTTCAGCACCAACGAGCCACAGACATCATCCAAGGGGTGAAGTGGATTTAGAGCTTTGTGGATACAAAGCCTTCAACTAAACCCCACTTAACACAGGTCTCCAAAAACGGCATTGATGGGAGCTTTTGCCTTTGTGGTGTTTGTGTAAATATGTTACTGTGTAAATGTGTAACACCACCCCCACCCCCCCAAAAAAAAAAATGGCAGCTCCAGCAAAACTGCAAATCAGTTTTCAACCATGGCAAGGCAAATGCCTGCCATGTGAAACTGGTGGTGTTACAGGTCTGTGCAGATGACACCCCTGGCTAAGGTGTTCCCAGGTACCAGAGAGGCAGAATCAGGCAGGGCTGTTGGTTCTCCCACAGGGGCCAAGGACTGTGGCTGAGCAAGGGCCCGGTGTGAGCCAAAACTGTCCCTCCTCCTTCCCCACCCCTCCCTTCCCATGGTCCCTAAAGCTACACTTGGTCAATGGTTTCCTGTTCGAAGCAATCACTTACTTTCTTTTTAGGCTGTGTAAGGAAATATTACTGCAAATCCATTGGCATCCCAGTGCTCCACTGAGTTCACCTTGGGAAAAAAGAAAGCAAACCCAACCCCTCATCCAGTGCCTCCCCCTCCCTCCTCCCCCAGCCCCACGTCTCACCCTGGGAGCCAGAAGCGTGTTTTGCAGCTGTACACGATGCATTTCATTTCCATTAGGAGTTCCTTCATTGCAAAAACGTATTTGCTTTTATCCTGTGTCTGTGTGCATATCTACGTTACATCTACCTATACACTAATAAATATATATGGCCTGTTTTAAAGTGCCAATTTATTAAAAAAGCCGCCTCCTCAAAAGGCAGGCAAGACCCAATTTCTTCCATGACAAGAAGGGAGCAGAACTGACTGAATATTGCCAAATGACGTAAAACATAATTTAAAATTTCTTAAATAAATATAAAAGTTATTCCTAAAGAAGCCGTAGGCATGTCAACAATACAGGTTGTAACCGGCACTCAACAACTAAAGTACCATTGGAAAACTAAAATGCCATAGCAACTTCAGCAATAGGCATGATACATCGCAAACATTTTTTTTCTTTTTAAATTAAATGTACACCACAAAGAACTTCAAAAAAAAAAAAAAAAAAAGCTATTGGTGCAGTAAGGAGAAGACTTCTCAGGTGTTACGGGGGAAGGGGGGGGACCATGCATAGAAAGCTGTGTCTGTATATTCGTTGTAAAACGGGTCTATAAAGTGTAAAGCAGGTAACACAGTTGATACAAGAACCCAACTCTATACGAGATGCCAAGTGATGTCACACGACTGGCTCCAGTTTCAACAGCAATGGATATTAAAGCAAGTCCATCCAGTGCAGGTACGAGATGAGCTTCACTGCAGTAATACTGAAGTTGCCTTTTTTTTCAGCACTTAGCACAGTGAGGTGGGAGAGGGGAGGAGAAATGCTCCAAGAAAGGGCGGGCGGGCGCTCCCAGCCCCACTCTCCCGCCCGCGCCCATCAGTCAGTCAGGAGGATTTCCGGGAGAGGTTGGCTCTCGGTGGGCGATGGGCACGTTGCTCCCTGCCAAAACCGTTCCCAGGAGCTTCGGGTGAGGAAGTGCTGATGTGCCGCCCATGCCGAGGCTCCGTGTCCGGCGGGATGGATGCCCTGGCACGGGGACGTGGGCGGGCCTGGGGACAGCCCGGTGTGGTGCCGGGGCGGGAGCTGCGGCCACAGCAGAGCGCTCGGGGACCTCTTTGGGGGAAGTTCCACAACTGTTTCCTGCCAACTGCTTCACATACGTGTTGGAAAAGGACATGGCTCTAAGTTTCAGGAATCACAGTAGTGCGCAGTGGGTACAGCAGGGAGCAAACACTTGTGAAACTCCGACAGAAGCAGCTCCCAGCCCTTTCTTAAAGCACTTTTTTTGTTTGTTTGTTTGTTTGTTTGCATTCAGGGAAACCGACTGCAGGCTTATTTGATCCAATTTTCTCTTTGCACCATACACATATAAAACATTACAACTCTGTATAAAAGTACAAGTGGTTCTTGTACATCTGAATTATGCAGGAACTATGTGAGCAAATCCTATCAAAATAGCTATTTTTTGTGTGTATAAACAGCATTTGTTTTTAGAAAAAACAATATCATAAACTGCAGAATCTGTACAAAAATATAAAATAAATTTGGGCAGCAGTTTCTAAACAGCCATGTAAATGCAACACTTAAAGAGGAGCAGGTTAATGCCTCCAAAAGGCTGAATTGCTAAAGTCAACCTATACAGGGCTAAAATGGTATTGAGATTATCTAAATAATAAAATTTTTTACCTCTTGCAATAAAACTTATAGAAAAAATAGACAAGTATGCACATGCAATTTACAGCTTTCCCCAACATAATCCTTGTGCTTAGCTTTCACCTTTTTTTTTTTCCTTTTTTTTTTTTTTCTTTTTTTTGTAATAACATAACATTGTCTACAATACATATTCTTTCCTATACCAGGATATTCGGTCTTCCTTGAGGAACCACTTTAAAAAAAATACATTAGAAGTGGTCATACATGGATGAAGGCACTCCAACTCTGCTCGAAGCAAAAACTAGTGTGATCCTTTTCTTTTCAAAAAAGGCAAGCAAGGATGCATGCACAGTGCTGTGAACTGGGGCTGGGAGGGACTATGGAAATACTACCAAGTGTATATACTGGTACTTAAAATTTAAAAAAAAAAAAAAAAAAAGTTGCTATATTTCTAATATTTTAAGACCCAACAAGCACCTCCATGATGTGATCCAGTTCTGTGAGATCCATTTTGAAAGGCTGATTTGGAGTTACTGGCTGACTGCTGTACGGAGCGAGAGTTTTTAGGAGCTCATCTGCTGAGACAGGAGCCATTTTCGAGGCGGCCCCCGTGGCAGACGTGCAGGGGTCAAAATCATACATGGACGTATCAATGTCAGCGAACAGAATGTCATCCAGGGTCAAGTCTGTGAGGAAACCTGTGGAAGCTGTGATCTCAAAGTTGCCAGGTAGAGAGTCCATGAGTTTGGATTCAGCCGTTCTGCTCTCCGGGAGGCCCTCGGGCTTGTGGATGTTGGACTCGCTGGGATGGGCTTTAGAGTCATCGGCTGCTGTTTCGGCTGCTACTGCCCCTGCGGAGGTAGGTGCTGGACAAAGCTCCTCGATTTCATCCAAGGCTGAGGAGAAGCTGTCCTTTACTGGTTGGAGAGCGGGAGGTGGTGGTTTTGTTGGACCATCGTGCTGGACAGTCGGGGAAGTGCAAAAAGTGTCGTCCTCGAGCAAAGAGGCTGGGGTGAGGCAGGACTCCAGGGGCATAGCGCTTACGAAGTCAGTGGGGAGCAGGGGCTGGGAGGCGAGGTGGCTGAACGCCGGCTGGGCCTCGCGGAAGTTGTCGCTGAGAGGGTCGGCAGGCTGGGAAGCGGTCACAAACATGGGCCTCAAGCTGCCTTCTTGTTTGAGCTCTTCCTGGATTCGCCTCAACATGTTGTTAATTAAAACTGTCTTTTGCAAGCTTGGCTCGGTTAATGGCCTGTGGTTATAAAGTTTCATAAGGGAAATGTTGAAGATAGTCTGACGCTGTAAGGTGTAAGACACCTTAGAGGGACCGTCGGTGGGAGACACCACTTTGCCTTCCAACCCATCTTCATGCTCGTCAAACTTCCGCTTTCCTCCTTTCCCCAACATATATCTGAAAGGAAAGAGAGGAGACCCATGAAGACAGCAAAGCCAAGTGCCAAACTGACCACACAAACAGCTCGGGCTTGGCCCGCAGCAGCGTGATGAGGAAGCAGAAGCCGCCTTAAACGCAGTGCCCTGGTCCATCCTATTTCAGCAGGGCTACGCTGGTAAATTCCAAGCAGGGATTCAAACAGCATCTCTAATACTCAAAGATCTTGCATGCCTGGCAGCAGATTTCCCTCTTGCATACATTATGGTCCCCAAATATCTGCACAGAGGTGCACGAGCTACAGATACTGCACTGGAAGTTTCTTTATGTTTCCTGACTGATGCAATGCTATGCCTGGGAATACAAACTTAAAGCACCAAGGTTCTTACAATGAATTTCCTTTTTTTATTCAAAAGCTCGCTTACAGGGGAAGGGAGGCAAAGCTCAAGCAATTGTATATTAAGAGAAACCTTCCCAGAGAAGATGGGAGATCCAGCCCTTCGGTACACCAGGATACACACATATGGGTTTATTTAACTGATCGCCTAAGGACTGAACAACCAGAGCAGGAAATGCAGTTATTACACTCAGAATTAGTTAAGTTATAGATAAAGAAGAAGATCTGTCAAGTCTTTTAGTCTAATCTCTGCACTACACTCTGCTGCTGGTCAGACGGCAGATTTTGAAGGAAACAAAGGGGATTTTACCAAACTTGCCCCGCATTATAAATAATTTCTGAGCTAAGATTAAAGTAGGGCAGTTCAATCCCCAGTGCCATCTCTTCCAAGATGTTTCACAGCGCCTGGAAATGCTCCTCTACCCAGCACAGCCCCAACCTCATTTTGTCACCATTATTTTTGTGACATGAAGATCCCCCCAAACGCAGAGGAATGAAGGAATTGCTGTGCTGTGACAGTAGCACGACCTGACGTTCTGCTCTCTCATTTTCCCAGGTTGAGTGGTGAGGTGGTGGAGCCCTAAGCCACTCACTCTTTTAATAGGATCACATGCAGCTCCCTGTTCATTTTAAAGTGTTTAACATTTTAGCTCTCTGTTTAACAAAACTCTAATAAAATGGCCTTATTTTAAACAAACAAACAAACAAACAAAAACAAAACACAACAAAAACAAACAAATAAACAAAAAAAAACCAACATGGAAGAGGCTTTTCAGCCACAGCTACCCAGAAAGAAGCTGCAACAGCAATACAGACTTTTACCCCAAAGCTGACTCCTCTCATATGATGTAGTTACCATCCTAGGAGTCAAAATCCACCTTCCTTATTTGAGTACAATTCCCAGTTCTCCCAGTGGGATTGGTGCTTGCGAAATGACTGCACCAGACAGGTCTACCACCAGTTTGATGGTCGTACACCAGTTCTGCAGTAGGTAAGGACTTACAAACACCCCCAAGAATGAATGACAAACATTTAAGAGCCCTTTGGAAAGCAGGAGAGGGGCTAAAAGAAGTCAGGTTTTCAATGTCAGAAAAAAAGGGCTTCAGAAAGCATTTGCTGGGTGGTAAATCCAAAATCAGATCGGGTGAAGTGAGCCTCTTCTGGTTAAAAGTAAGTCCCAAATCCAGATAATTTTCTAGCATATTATGCAATTAAAAAAAGAAAGGCAGGGGGAGGGAGCAAGCTGAGCAGAGCTGAGGAACAGGTAGGCTGCCATCCAAGCTCCTTGGCCAGCTACCAGCGATTCCCGCGCCTGGAATCTTGGGTGAACAAAACCTCCGAAATTTAGCACTACTGCCGAAGTCTGGTTTTTCTCTGCTCCCTAGTGTCACTTCCACAGACTACTCTGGAGCTGTGCACATGAGTTTGGAGTGTGAGGGGGGGGCTTTGCTGTTCAAATGTTCATTCATGGTGGACACATTTCCTTCCACTTCGGACAGATAGAGCAAGAAAGGGAGGATCAAGCTAGCAAGAATCAAAACCCCTGCCCAATTCCAGCACGTTTTTAAGGCAGCAAGGCGTCAGGAGGAGGGGTAGCAGTTTTCCATCCCTTCCTGCTATCTCCTCCCCCTGAAAAAAGACAGACTCTGTCCTAAAGACATACCAGTGGCTCGTTCCACAATGCTCTATTTAAAGAAGACGTTTTTAAATGGCTTGGGGACTAGAAGAGTTTTGAAGTTTGTCAGCCTCTGCCAGGAATGTATACAAACATCCACTGTACAAAGCAAACCCTTTCCCCCAGGATAAAGAAAACAGCCCAGGCTCCTTCCCTGTGCTCAGTTATTAATTATTGCCAGGTGACATCAGAATCATTTCAAACGAACCCAGTCAAGCCCATTTCCACCCAAGAGTGAGGTGCTGGTAGTTAGCACGTTTTTTAAGCTGATCAGTAAGAGCTATGGGATCATCATTAAGTAAACACTACGATAACCTCGCTACGTCATTTTCCAGGAAGCTCAGAAATGATTCAAGGTTTCCTGTATGTATGACTGTCAAGCTTTCACATCTCACTCAATCTTCACGTAGCTTGATTCAGAGCTTGCCCTTTTAAAAGATAAAATAGATCAGGCAACTCCCAGTTTCACCTACCAGCTTTTCGGCACAACTTTCAGTTTCCTTTCCCCCCCCACTAACACTCTCTGAGAGAGGGTTTAACCACTAAAGCACCAAAGCAGGATGCCAGCCTGAGAGCATGGTGGGTTTACTGCACCAAGGAGGGGGCTCAAACGAGCACCACTAGACTCTCAGCTTTACAGTTTTATTTTATTCCCTTCTCCTCTGGCATGCAAATGGGAATTGTAAAAAATCTTTTCCTCCGGTTTCCCTAAGTCGCTTTATTCACGCTAAGTGAAGCAAGGAGGCAGCATCTCTTTAGACCAACTGATAAGAGTTGGTGGAACCAGACATGCTTGTGGGCCTGCAGGTCTTCCTCTGGTTCTCCATGAAGGAATTACACAGTTTCTAACCACGGGGGCTTAAGACAATGTTGCCTGCTTGTCATCTCTTCCCTCCTTCGACCAACAGTATCGCTCCTATATTAAAGAGATCAGTTTTGTATGTCTTTTAGGATACCAAATACTGGTGTTTTTTAAAAAAGAAGCTGTACAATACCAGCATTTAATCTGAGTCAGTTCTGTTCATCTCAAAACTCCTGCTGGGAAAACAAAAATGCCAGGCTTGCAGATCAGCTTAACCAAAGATCAGTGCAAAATGAGCTAAACCTGCACCACCCCAAGTGTCAAAAGACAGAGTCGTCCTACCAAGTCATACAGCCCCTAACAGGGGCAGCCAGACAACAGCAACCCACCCAAATGCAAGACTGGACAGGCAGAGACTGAGGGGCACGTTCATGGAGGGTCTTTCATGCCTCTATTTTGGCCGAGCACCAATCTCAGACAGATGTATTCCTGCTGCGTTTTCATCCATCCCACTAAACATCATTTTGAGGTCAAGTGTTAGGAGTTGAGACAGGACATTGCTTTGTTGTTGTCGATGTTGCTTTATTAAAGGGTGTTGCAGGGTTTTGGGTTGCAACTTAAGTTTTCAATGTTACTCACGTATGTGGAACCAGAAAGCTGAAGAAAGACAACGGAAAAGCTGCACTTATCTGGGGATTGGAGGCGAGGGGGAGTTACTTGGAGATCTTCCCCAATATTATCTACCAGTTGGCTCCCTCTCTGGAAGACCCAGAACCAAAAGCTAAACCACTGTTGCTGAGAAAAGATTCAACTTGCTTTTTTTGCCCATTTAGGGTGATTGCACGCGCCTCAGCGCCAGAGAAACCCTAGCATTGTTTGGGAGTTGTCTTTTTCTAATTGAAAAACAAAAGTAATATTTTCTTTTTTTTTTTTTTTTTCATTTGCATGTCATTTAGCTTCCTTTTATTGGCTCCGCTCTGCTCTTCAGACAGAGCTGGGAAAAAATGTAGTTGGGGCTCAGCAGAAGAGATAATCAGCCTGGAGCGGATGGTTTTCTGGAGTCGACCATCATCGATTACACACAGGAAAGCTTGTGCAATGCCTGTGTCTCTGAGCCCACTTAGTGAGGAATCCTTGGCTCTCAGGAGGACAGAGGTATGTGCACACTGTGAGAGTACTGTATTTACTGATTGTGCTTTGGACGTTACACCTTGTCACTGCTGGACTACTTCTGAAGTCCTCTATAATCCTGAGTTTGGCACAGACAAAAAGCACCAAATACGTTAAAATCGAGAGAAAAAGCGATCTGGCTCACCCACAATAAACTTTAATGTTAATTCTCAAACTTTAATGTTAATTCTCAAACACATTTAAGTTTTAGATGTCTCTCAAGACTGAGGGCTCTTCTTGGAAATCAATTCTACAATCCACAAGGCCCCCCCTGCTCATCAAGGCAAACAGGAAAGAGAAAAAGAAAGGGGAACTGAACCCCAAGAAGAACAGCAGAAAAGGGTTTTTAAGAAGTCATTATTTCCACTCACAGATTTACGCCACCCTTTTGGTCAGTGTAGAAGATGAACAGCTGAAAAGACTGAGGTTCACCTTCATAACCAACACCATGCTGCTCAAAAAGCTAAAAGCACCAAACCCCAGAGTCCACGGGCCATCATTCCTCCCCACACAGCCGAATGCTGAAAGACAGGTGTGAACCACAGGGGTTTGTGTGAGAAGTGCAGTTTGATGCAGGACCAGTTACTTTCTGAAATCTTGGGTAATTAAAACCACTGAGTGGGGAGGGGGAAAGGAGAGAGAAAGAAAAAGGCTACTTGGGGAAATTAAAATAAAACACTTGTGCATGAAACCCCCAACAAGGACCCTCAACACAAAAGCTCCCTATAAAATCCCCCCAAAATGCTATGAGAGTACTGGATTTGCACATTTGATTCCCAAACAAAGTTTCACACACCTCAAGTGTAAGTGAACCTCACCAGAGAACCTATCCAGTGAATTAGGCAAGTGCTTCCTGAGTCACTTCTGGCACATGAAATACAACTTTCCTCTCCTCCACACCTCACTCTTCATCCCTGAGGGTTCCATTGGTTGTATCCTGGCCCAACAGTAGTCAATGAGTGTTTTGTTACTGACTT